GCAATGCCCTGGTCATTCTGGCGTTCGTGGCGGACCGGACCCTCCGCACACACGGCAACTTTTTCTTCCTCAACCTGGCCATCGCTGACCTCCTGGTGGGTGAGTTCTAGGGCGCCGGGAGGGGCAGAGGGCAGCGGCCCGCGGGGCTGCCGGTGTCACCGCCGAGCTCTGTCTGCAGGAGGCTTCTGCATCCCCCTCTACATCCCCTACGTGCTGACGGGCAAGTAGAGACTCGGGCGGGGGGCTTTGGTGCAGAGGAAAGCAGGCAGCCTCAGTGTTCAACATCGTCCTCATCAGCTTCGACAGGTTCATCTCTGTCACCAGAGCGGTAAGGGCTGGGCTGGGCTGGGCAGGGCTCGGGGCTAGGGCAGGCTGCCCTGTCGAGCAGGAGGATTTGCTTCAGTCACCTGGCTCTCAGCCCCATCGCACCTCACTCAAACGCCCCAGCAGAGGGGTGAATCAAGGCAGTTTCCTTCGGTCCTGGAAATAGTCCTGGGAGTCATGAGCTTTGGTATGAAAGACATCTGCTTCTCATTTTCACATTGGAAGAGGTACTCTGCTGTACCAGCCCACACAGCCTTAGGTGCTGCTGTTCCAGCTAAGTACGAGAGAGGTTTCACTCTTCTACACACACTTCTTGGTTATTTTTCAGTCCCAGTGTTCCACCCACATTTCCTTAAAATGTTAATTTAGCTTCATTGCTTATTCTAAGTCACACTAAAAGACAATTATGTTTTTTTGGCAAACAGTACAAAGAGGCTGCAAGATAATTTTAACAGTTTATATGCAACTTGATGTTTTACTAAATTATTTTTGAAGAGGGAGAAATGAACAGATTAATTCGTAAACAGTCAACGCACAGAATTCCTTTATTTTCCAGGTTCTGAATTAGCCATGATTTTTGCTTTCATCAAATAAACTCAGAACTATACCAATAGTATAAACTAGATGGTTTCAGCAAGGAAAACTGGTTATAATAAATTATAATAATCAGACACTTTTAAATATTTCAAATCAATCCCCATATAAAAATCCCTCCCCAGGCAAGAGTACAGAAGCTGCCAGTTGGGTCAGAGCAGTGTAAGGACATATAAACAGGAATTTATGAAGTTCTAAATTATTCTCTATATCAATAAAAATGCTAATCTTCCTGCAAGACTGCCCCTGCAATCATTCATCGCTTTCTTAGGGATTGCAAAATCAGACCTGATTCAGACAAACTCGGGATTCCTAAGCTTTGTGGGTACTCTCTCAGACCACCATTGGCTTTGGAGAGTGAGATCCACAGACTGGGGCAGTAAACATGAATTGTGTACAGAATTCAAGCTTGAGGACTTCATAACCCAAAACACTGTGTGGCCACAGTAGAGTTCTGAAGATTGAATTCCAATTTACTATATGAACGTTGTCCAGTACACCAGGGAATTAGGCTATTGAGACGATCATCTTGATTTTAAGATTCTACTGAATGTTACTGCTCATATGGTTTACTGACATAATTTTTTTGTACCTTAGTTGCTTTATTTTCTAAATAAGGGAAATCAGTTACTCTTCCTGTAAAGCACTTTGCAGACCACAACACTCCATCTATGCATCTTAATTGCAGGTAAGATTTCTGCAAGTCTTCAAAAAAGAAGGTCATAAAAGAATGAAATTAAGGGTATCAAACAAAAGTAAAAGCTGTTACCCATTAACTTTCTTGTGGTCTGATTTTCACATTAAGGAAAAAAAAAAAGGCTGTCTTTCCACAAAGCAGAAAGAACGTAAGTTGCATGGGTGTTCTAGGAATTCACATCCTTTTATGTATTTTAAATTAAATTATTTAGAAATTCTAAATAAGTGGATTTTGAAGTGCTGTTTTTAGATGTTATGTAAATTGGTGTCACAAGTAATGCAACTGAACTGGTGACAACCACTTCTAGGAATAGCGGCAGTTGTTTGCCTTGGAAAAGCCTCGGTTTTCTAGCTTTTAAGATCTGATGCACATTCTCCAAACATATCCAGCCACCTTGGTACTGTTTGTTGGAATGCCTATTTTAGAAACAGCTTTTCTGTGGTACTGGTAAGCTCGGTATAACCCTTCACCTCTAAACCAATATATTATCAACCCTCGCAAGTGACTGAGGGAGCCATATCCTAAGATAGCCATGTTTAAGATACTAGTAATGTATGTGACTTGACTTCTGTCTCTTTCAGGTCAGTTACCAGGCTCAGAAGGGGATGACCAGAAATGCAGTGCTAAAGATGATCACTGTATGGATTGCTGCTTTTCTTCTCTATGGTCCGGCCATTCTCAGTTGGGAGCACATTGCCCAAAAGAGTATTCTCCCTGAAGGAGAATGTCATGCAGAATTCTTCTACAACTGGTATTTCCTAATGATTGCTTCTACTATTGAATTCTTTACACCCTTCATCACTGTTACATACTTTAACTTAAGTATTTACCTCAACATCAGGAAACGCACATCCCTCAGGAAAGAAAACCTATCACCTGGTCAAGAGGACTGTGAAAGGAGTTTCCACGGGGAAAAAAGGGAACACACTATATTTTTTGTAAAACCTGCAAACAGACACAAACATGAGAAGAGTGCAAGCAGCTGTTCTCCCCCCAAAAAGGCCTGTTCTCCCCCCAAAAAGGCTTCAAGAGTTAGCCAGCACACGCCTGGCAATCAGTCATTAAATCTGAACGTCAATCAAGACCTTCCACCACTCCAGGTGGAAGTTGAGACCAAGTCTCATAGGAGTGGTTTCTACAAAACTACAGAAGGCATATACAGCACTACCAGCAGAGTGGACATGGCTAACACTATGACAGATTTAGACTTTCCCGGGATAAGAGAGTAGCAAAGTCTTTAGCAATTATTGTCTGTGTGTTTGGTTTGTGTTGGGCTCCATATACACTTTTGATGATCATCAGAGCAGCCTGCCATGGCCACTGCGTGCAGTATTCATTCTATGAGACTTCATTTTGGCTTCTGTGGGTGAATTCAGCCATTAACCCTATTCTATACCCTCTGTGTCACATGAGCTTCAGAAAAGCCTTTATAAAACTCCTGTGTCCAGGAAAAGCCAAAATTCATCCCCATATTTTTATGTGAAGTGTGAAATATCTTCTTTTCAGTGGGAGCATGAACTGGCTAATACTCACCTGCAAATATTATAATCATCAACATAGCTGGAGAAATCACAGCAGTGAAAAGAAAGGTGATTTCTCAAAGCTTTTTGGGCATTATGCCAACGGTATATTTTCTAGTGATGGTGCGCTAGCATTACAGTGCTGAAAAGGGAGTACAACATTTATGGCCAGTAATATGAGTTCAGGCTCTCTCACTTTTCATAACTGTAAATACTGTTGCTAAGGAATTTCATAAAGTCTTAACCTTGGATCTGTTACATTTTACCCCCAAACCCACTCTAAGACACCAAGGGTCTCAGATGTTAAGTGTATGATGCTTTTCCCTCCACTTAGTGACAAGCCAGATGAGATAATGACCAATGCAAAAGTCTAAATACTGGTGTCTAGGAAAAGCATGGGACAAGAGGGACCAGACTGGTCAGGTTACCAGAGCAGCTTAACAATTGTAGCAGGTAAGGGAGCACTTACTTCAGCGGAAAAGGTGACTGAGAAATAGTAGAACTAAGTTCAGTAATGGGAATAAAAAACGGGTTTGAGCTCTCTGATGGAAGCTATGAGAATTGAAAGGGTTTATACACTGCAAGAGTTTTACCATGAGTTTCCCATCTTAGCTATTATTTCCTTCCTGCCCTCTGTCAGGATTCTCCACGGGCAGGAATCTACTCAAGTAGACTCTGCTCCTCCTTACAGGATGGACAGGTATTACTTTTCTATCTTTTGCTGTACGTATTGAGTAAGCATGATTGGTCTGAGATCTATGTCAGACATACCTTGCTATAGACATAGCTTTACGTAAACTTCCCTTGGAGTAATTTTTACATTTCAAGTTAGACTTTTACTAGTTCTGGCCAGTTCTGAAAAAATGTTGTTTTCCCCTAGCCCACCCATTGGATTTATTCATCAAGTCATAGTGATGAAAACAAAAGTGAAGTGTTCTGACATTTTCCAAGTCATGCATCATGAACAGCACAACTTAGAAAAGTATGCTAAAATTTACAGCCTTGCTATTGTGTGTTTGAGAACCAAGAACCAACAGCTACATACTGTTCTTGCCATTCTGCCTCTGCCACTAGAGAAGCTCACGCAGGTAGATTCAGAGTTTTGACTAGGTTTGTCCTAGAAGAGTTACGAATTTGAACATCACTTGTGATACAAGTTTGTTTCCGCCATCATAAGCCTTTTCTGCATAGCTTAACAGACACTTTACTGGCAGGTGATAGCTATTGAACAGCTGTAGTAGTCCATTGCTACAGCCAAAATGCATATTAGTACAGTTGATCTTAAAAGTTTACAGACAGTATTTTGAAATCCTTTACTTTGTAAAATTTCAATAAAAGCAGTTAAGAACTGTGGACGAGTCATGGCTTTGTAGCCTTAACAAGTGGTACATGGGAAAAAGCACTAGCTACATCATTTGGGTTACTGCAGTTGAAACCACCACAAAACTGTTATTCAAAGACAATTCCTAAGTTACAAGGAACAACCTTGAGCATTAAACAAACATGATTAGCAAATACTGTATACTAGGAGGCATACTGCTACTACATGAATGGATCTACATGAACATGATCATCATGTTCTTCTATGCATGTTTTATAATGAAACAATCAGCTTAACAGTTTTCTTAGGAGGAACATTATCCAGATACAGAGCGACATTAAGGTTTTTCAACAGCATTAATTACACCACTTGGGCAAGTAAAGCCATTAGATCATCTCCTCATTCCTCCTCCCCTCCAAGACAGAGTTACACATCTGTAGATCAATGATCTAATTGTTATCATTGTTGTCTACTCCCTAATTCCTGTTTCTTACGATCATATTTCATAAAACAAGCTACACTAAATTACTGGAGTCTCATTCACTATCCAATCAAGCCAGGACAATTTTCACAACAGTGGTCAACTCAAGAAACAAGGAAGTTCAATCAGTTAAGCTTTAGAACATTACATTCAGTTATGTTAAAACAAAATTTCAAAGCTTTCAGCAACTGGCATTAACTTACAGACCAGACCAGTTTTCACAGGAGTTGCCATTGGCAATTGTTCTACCACTCTGATTCCTATGGCTCTTCATGTAATTGCCACTCATTACTCTAGCACAGACCTAGAAACCAGTAGGGTTTTCTACCACTCTCAAGATATGTCATAAAAACATTTTGAAATGTGAACACACATCAACTCGGCATCAGTTGGAAAAATACTGGGTTTGTAAGATAAACTTCCACATCAGAAGCATAGCAGCCTCCCAGCCTGTCCAGGTTAACTATGCTGTAATTTTTCTGTCCCTACAAAACGGAAGTTCTTCTGTTTTTATCAAAAAGTTCAACATTAACATTGGATTCAACAGTGGGCTCTGAAGAGACATGAAACAACATGTGTTAATAGCAACTTTATTGTTTCACTGGTGCAAAATCATGATACTGAATAAACTTGTGTAATGTGTTTCTCCCTAAATTTACAGTAATGAAGGTTATACATATCTATACAGCTTGCAATTTCTCTATTTTTATACTATTTGGAACAAAGTTACCTTGATAAATATGCCCTGTGCACAGTACTGGCCCTCACTGAATGTCACAGAGCCTTAATACGCAAAATATAACTTCTAGTATTGAACATGGTGCTTTAAAATTCTCCAAACATGCATTAATATATTCTAGTTTTTAGGGAAAAATATTACACTTAGTCTTAACGTGCATTAAAAGAAAAGCACAAGCAGAATCTGACATACAATAATCCCAGAAATCTGATGCTCTGTGCAAGGATCAGACAAGAGTTTCAGATGACAGTCACTGCCAGTTTAGAACTCTAGTGCTACAGAAGCAACAGTGAACAAACAGAAGAGAAATCAGAACCTGAAGAGCCCTACCATGTCACAAAGATTTCAAAGAAAGTTTCAGCCATGCTAACTGATGAAACCTGCAGTTGCTGGTCCAACCTTTCAAATTGTTAAGAGTACTCAACACAAGTGTTTGAAGTGCCAGACTGAATGAATGAATGTTAACTTGACATTTCTGAAAGGCACAACCTATGAATCTATCTTAAGAAACCCCCCCAAAAAACAAAACAAAACAACAAAAACAAACAAAAAAAAAACCCCAACACAAACACCCCCCCAAAAAAACCACCCCACATATGGTACGTAAATTAAAAGTAGTAAGTACAGTGTGTATCCTCCTAAAGAACAAGACCTTCATAAATTGGCCCCTCGGATTCTGGCGATTCCCTCCTCAGACGCAAGTGCTCCAGTGTATTGTGAAAGTGTTTGTTAATTTGTTCTGTTTCTTCAGTAGACTCAAGGTTTGGGAGATCTTCTCTTATCTTCTGTATCAGCTGATTCAAAACCTGAATTGTCACCTACAGGAGAACATAAACAGAAGCTATCAGCAAGACCTGCATAAAAGCGCATTGACATTGGCTTTAACAGACTTGTGTCTAAACTGTTGGTATTTGGACAGTTCTTAGAAATATTGGCAAGGCTGTATGCAAACAGTTGGACACAGCCTTCTCTTGTTCCTCATAGGGCTACTCTGATTTCAGAGCTTTGTGGAAATTGCCCCCTTGCCAACAAACATAAAGAGTTTAATCAGTCATTAATGTGATAGATTTATAACTTTTACTACAGCATTTCTCTCCAGTTTATTCAACACAAACTGAAAAAGCTTTAAACAAATAAAGCACAAAATCAGATTGTCTGTGCACTTTAACATAATCTGTCTCTTGCAAAAGTCAGTCAGGATGGTAATACTAGATTTAAAGTAGGTCTTAGTGACCAGTTCATTGCCTAGGAAAGCACATCTGCCTAGTGTTGAGTCCCACAGTACACAGAACTCCACTGAATCCAAAGACTGTTTCTGTGTCTGCCAAGTGTTTTGAAATTCAAAATTTTATTTTCATCTCCATCAGATACTGCATCTCCTACACTAAAGCACTACAGCAGGAAGCCAGTTCAGTTGTTGTGAAGTCAGCAAATCCCTAAAATCTCTTTAGATATTCTTTCACAAGTACAGGGTATTCATCAACATCTGCTCTTGATCAAATAATGACATTGGAGGGGATGATGGTCTCTACTTGACCGAATAGCTTTTTCAAAAAGTTTACTAGTTATCTGCTAACAGAAAGTGTATGCAACAATGATTCCAGATTGCAGATGCAGAATTTAAGCTGGTACATGAGATGTCATTATCTGTTTCTCAAAACTAAAGCTTACACCAACCATTTGATGCACTCAGCAGTGACCTTGAATACCTGTAAGGACTTTCCTTCCCTTATGTACATATTAAGTTAGGTACCCGTAAAGTTAGATGAGCAAGTAGTAAGATTTCAAGACCTAGTAAGTTTTGATCTAATAAATATTTCTGGTATCTAAGTCCCACAGTATTTAAATTCATAACTAAATGGAAAATGTTTGGTGTTTTCATCCATGTAAGAATGAAGCTTTATCCCAAATTGTACTACCATATCAAGAATTGACTACTCTTACTGCCAGAACTTGTGCCTCTTACAACTACAGAGCAAGTTGAAGACGTATGATTTGGGGTATAAGCATGAATCAAGAACTTATAGAAATCCTCTTTTAAAAAGATGCAATAGAGAGAGTGCATTTCCACTCACCGCCTCATTTTCCTTTTCATAAAAGTAGATGTATCTGTTCAGAATTTCTATGAAAAGCTGGACTTGCAGAGAGGGGTCCATGCACTGATTTGCTATCTTCAGAGCCTTCTTTAGGCATTCCATCACTCTTTTTCCTCCATGAAGCTAGAAGGAAAAAAACCGAAGGTTAGAAGAAATAACAACTTTAGGGAGCTCCAGTATCTATTCCCTTTGCACAGTTCCTGGTGGTCTACTACAAACACAAAACTACACAAACTGTGCAAACAAGCTGTCCTTGAAAGCTTGCCTTGACAGTTTTAAGTCTTGTTAAATAAGGCAGTTGTTGACGGCTCTCAATAATGAGATGAATGAACTCAATCTTGTAACACGTACACTAATGCATACTAAAAGGACTATTTCAAACACTGCTCTTTATAATTATACAGTTTATGTTGCCAGCCCTGGAGAACACACAATCATTTTTTTTTACATTTAATTGCAATAATGGGTATCTTTAATTTGGAAGTTTAGTAGTTCACATGTAAACACATCTACAATAACAGACACTGCAAAATGCAGACTGTACTTTGACAGCCAGTCTTTGACTCCGCTCCAAAGCTTGCATGGTACTTCCACCCTTAAAATTGAGTTGTCTCCATTTTTGTATGTATGCAGCTTATACTGCAGTGAGATTTAGAAGCTTTATACATTAGAATACATTTCAACAAAGTCTACATCACTAAGCGATGTATCTACTTCAGAAGCAAGTGCCTTCAGAAGGAAGGCAGAGCAATGTTACTGAGGTAGGACATGTTACACTGCTGTCCCTTTATTCTTACCTCCTCTCCATTCTTGTCAGTATTTCGGCCAGACCAAAACAGATGGGCACAAGTGCTCACAGCCCGGCACTGGTCTGGCTTCTTAAGGAGTTTAGAGGCTGCCAGTGCACACTGAGTCCTCAAAGGCTCATGGTTCTCCTCACTGAAGCACTTCATCCTCTCAAATGTCCCAATTATCAAGGTGATTGCAGCCAGCTGTGCTTTTGAATCACTAATTTCATCTTCATATAGAGAGAAGGCCTAATCAAAGGAGAATGCAAGAATCTTAATCACTGCTTTAGAACACATTAGCAAAAAACCCAAATCACACATGCCAGTGACAAGGCAGAAAAGTGTCCAGTTTTACGTAAGTTAAAAGCTTCCGGCAGGAAAATAGATCTTTCATTGAGAGTGTCAAAATTATGTTAAATCCACAGACTGGAAATAAATCTTGCAAGAAATACTTCTTAAGTGTTCATAGTAAACAAGTGTGAATCTACACACAATCTGAAGACTGAGGCTTTCCTCATTTCAAGCATTTGATTGAATATGGAACCTCTGTAGCAGCAGTAGTCTCTGGAGAGCATTTGGTTCTTTGAAACACACAGAACAGTAGAGCAGAAGTTGAATGGTAGGTCAGTGACCAGAGCAGGTAAAAACCATTGGCACTGCTGCTACATGGATAAAGAGCCTCGAGAGAAAACATGAGACTAAAAATCTTATGAATCTATGAACCATCTTGAATAGAAGGCACATAATTGTCATGCTCCTCTCATCTTCAGAATTGCGCTGTAAAAACAACTGATACAAGACAGTGAGGAAAGGCTGAGGTTATCAACTACTTGGTTTAAGAATAAGCATTAGTAGCAGTACTAGAGGAAACATTAGGACAAAGCTTGCAATGTGGGTAACATTAAATACATCGGTTCCTTAACTGACGGGGAGGATGGCAGTATTTTTGCAACAAGTAAGGCTCAAGATCAAGAAAGAGGTTGAAGTGGATTTTCACAGTAGTTTATAATTGGTTTCAATACAATGATTTTGATTAGCAAAGACCAGCATGACAGCTGTGAACACTGCAAATTTTAGAGAACTTTCAAAGAGGGCTTGTGGTCAGGACACGACCTGCTTGACAGCAGGAGCTGCAACACAGGCTTGGAAGCAGTGAAGGAGCATTATATGTTGAGAAAGCTGCACTTCTCCAGTGAGACAACTATGCAGGTGGGAGGCAGTACTGCAACATACCACATGTTGTCAAACTGAGTATTCAAATTAGAAGCAATGGAGCTTAATTCCACAGCAGCCTGGGAAGCAAGAATTAAGGTGAGGAGTTTCTACCTAGTAGCATTAGCTGTCAATAATTTCAAGATGTTTTAATCACACCAGATGGTTCAGTGTTCAGGAAACCTACCCAAGCCAAATTTAAGGTAGCACAGGACAGTGAGTGTAATAGTTGGACACTCACCTGGGACATGAACTCATAGGCCACAGTTTCATGATTCTCAAAGCCAATCTCTCCCGCAGCCAGTGCTCCTTGTAGGAAAAGGCGGAGAGGCAGCTCTGCCAGTTCAGCTTTGATTAGAGCACTGATGGTCTGATGAGCAAATGAGAAGATCTTCTGGCATTTCTTTTCCCATTTGTCATCCTAGAGAAGAGAAACAAGCCAAAGCTTGAACAAGACTATTGCTACAAAGAGAATCTAAATCATAACAAGATCTGTCAAATGCTCCGGTCTGTTTTCTTCTGTGTGCCACACCAGGTACTTACTGAAGCAGTATTAAGTGCCCTAGCAGTACTGTGTTGACCTCAGTGGGTGTTCACAAAAGTATTTCTTCCATTTACAAAAAGCGCACACCCATTTTTCCTACCAGCTCACAGAAACCTTCCTCACAAGTAACTGCAGTTACCACAGGTATGCTTAGAACATAGCTAATGAGGCTTTTGCTGAATTAAATTGAGAAAAATTCTATTCAGTCTGGACCATCAATCAGGAAGGGAAGAGAGTTTTAAAACATTCATTTTGAGGAGTGTTTTAACAAACAGTATTTTAGCTTATTTCCCCACAATATATCCTCCAATAAGGGAAAGTATGTATTTTAGCTAACTATCTCCATCAGACAACATTAAAGGGCCAAGATGGATCAGTGATTGTTTTAGTGTATGCTTTCGCAACTACTGTGTAAAGCTAACCTACAAAGAAACGCTTGCTTTTAGAAACATTAAAATAGCATATCTACAGATTTAGAAGTTGATGAATTTCAATATCTGGATTTAAATCGGTTTCATGCCAGCACTCGCAGTGTCCCAGCTCTCGGGTCTCCAACTAAAAACACATCAGCTACCTTCATGAATAAACATCTAGCCAATTTCTGCTTCACCATTCCTCAAATGCTGAGGTAACTTACCATGAATTGATAAAAATCCTACTTAAGTTAGAAAGCTCTTTATTTTTACACCTCAAGTAAAAATCTGCCTTGAGAAAAAACAAACAAAACCCTTAGCATTCTATATCAAGTTTTAGCATAGCATAGCCAGACAAATTGCCAAGGTGAGTATCTCCCGAGAGGACACCTTGAACAGCGGAGCAGGGGGAAGCTCAGTGTCCCGGAGTCTCAGTTCGGAGCGGCAAGAGCCATCGTGGGAGCCTCAAGTCCTTGAGAGGACTTGCCCATGAGCCGGCAGCTCAGCTGAGGTGAGCAGCTGACTCACAGGGAGCAGAGCCAGGAGTGACAACACCGGCCCTTGGTGGGTAAAAACCCAGCCCAGGGAGCGCGAGTGACCAGGAGCGCAGCGAACAGGGAGTGGTGCGGCAGTTTGCACAGGCAGGGCAAGCAGGATGGTGAGCACTCGCCTCAGGAGCAAAGCCCGCTCTGGGAGCTCTGCTGTGGATGCCAAGAGGAGGCTGCGGCGCAGATTTCGGATTGTAGAAACTGCCTCGACTGCTCTCTTGAGGAGAGGGTGCGCAATGGACGGGGCTGTGCTTGATGTGTGCTAGTGGAGGACCTCCAGCAGCAGGTGGCTGAGCTGCGGGAGGCTGTTGGTAAGCTAAAAGGTGCCATAGAAGTTGAGAGGAAGCTGGGCTGCTTGCTCCAGGGCCGAACCATGAAAGGGCCACAAGCGTCCATCACTGCTCACACAGGAAAGAAGGAGAGCATTAACCCAGGAAACTGGGAACTAGTAACAAATCAAAACAACAAAAATAGGAGGAAGAGGACAATTAGCAGCTAGAGGATTCCTCCTAAACCTGATGTCCACTCCCAGAACCGCTTCACAGATCTGCAGGAGGCTAATGATGAAATACCCACCACATCAAATGAACATCCTGCTGATGTACCGGTAAAGAGGATCACTACTGGTGCCTCCAGGAAACGGCAGCGGGTCATAATAGTAGAAGACTCTACTTCGAAAGCCACAGAGGTGCCCATCTGTCGGCCTGACCCT